GCTTTGCCTAACTCTGTGACCACTTTAACGGTCTCGCTTAGTTCTGCCTAACTCTGTGACCCCCCAACGGTGTCCCTAAAGTTTTGCCTAACTCTGTGACCGCCCCAACGGTGTCCCTAAAGTTATGCCTAACTCTGTGACCGCCCCAACGGTGTCCCTAAAGTTTTGCCTAACTCTGTGACGGCCTTAACGGTGTCGCTAAAGTTTTGCCTAACTCTGTGACCGCCTTAACGGTGTCGCTTAAGTTCTGCCTAACTCTGTGACCACACCAACGGTACATGTTGCAGTTCTGGCTAATATCGCTATGGCGCTGTGAGACCGTAGGATGGTCAAGGAAGGCCTCATAGCCTGCATGTTTTATGCCTGATGACAAGCAAAGATCTCATAGGCTGCGTGTTTTATGCCTGATGAGAAGACAAGACCTCACAGGCTGCGTGTTTTACGCCTGATGAGAAGTTAAGACCTCATAGGCTGCGTGTTCTATGCCTGATGAGAAGACAAGACCTCACAGGCTGCGTGTTTTATGCCTGATGAGAAGACAAGACCTCATAGGCTGCGTGTTTTATGCCTGATGAGAAGACAAGACCTCATAGGCTGCGTGTTTTATGCCTGATGAGAAGACAAGACCTCATAACCTGCCTGATTTATGCCTGATGAAAAGACAAGACCTCATAGGCTGCATGATTTATGCCTGATGAAAAGACAAGACCTCATAGCCTGCATGTTTTATGCCTGATGAGAAGACAAGACCTCACAGGCTGCGTGGTTTATGCCTGATGAGAAGACAAGACCTCATAGGCTGCAGGGTTTGCAGTCAAAGGAACGAGTATTTAATACTCTAACACTAATTAATTCTAACAATAGCGATAATCGTAACAACAAAATTTCAGCTAAAACATGGGACGGTAAACCAAAACAGGAAACCACAATTTCGGCGGCGTTTTCAAAAATGTTACTACGTTTACATGTTGAATAGTAAAAGTAGCGTAGCAACAGTCCCGAAAACGCCGTTGAAATTGCGGAGCTAGGTCTTGTCTTCTCATTAGTTTTGCGGATTCTGATCATTACGCCAACTAGGCGACGGTATCTACGTAAGTATCTCTTTGTCCCATGCAGTAGGCAGTTTGTAGCGCCGAGTTTTAACTGCACAGTGCATGTTGTGTGAGTGGTTGCTATCTGGAGGTAGCCAGGGGGCGTGCCTAGTGTCGGTAGCTGAGAGGGCAAAGGCCTGGCACCCTAGTCTCTACCAGGCTTCGGGACTCTGGAAAGAGTAGAAATCAGCCAAATAGCGAGATAACATGCCAGGGGAGTTTGTCTGCTGGGAGAGAACACGTTGCAGCAGACAAACTTCCCTGGCACGTTATCTCGCTATTTGGCCGATTTCTACTCTTTCCAGCCGCCTCCCGAAGCCTGGTAGAGGCTATTGGCACAGGGTCAGTCTACGTTCAGACGGACGTTGAAGGTCAAGTGTTAGCAGGGCCTCGGAGTATGAGTGATAGCTTCTCCCCATCATGATTCTACAGGCCCGTTTCTGAATTCTTTCTATACTGTCAGATTGTTTTTGCATGCAATATAAAGCGTGCACCGACTGACGCTTGTGGCAGTAATCACACGCATGCACTACCGCTTTGGCAAAGAATAATACACGCACACATTTTTACCTCCCTGCGATTCTCGCGCTAGCCTTACCTTATTAATTTACGTCGGTCGAACTTTTAACTACTTCTGCAAAATTATAACAGCAAGTTCCCTCTGTTAAAACAAAGAGCAACGGTAAGTTTTTCTCACATCCTCTTTTACAGCTGATCAGCTAAAACACTACAGGATAGTTCATTTCCTCACTTTACTACGTTCTTTTTGTTGACGAATCAAATTAGCTGCAGCCAATTGAAATCCAAGTTGTGGTCGAAAAGTGAAAGTGGAAATGCTGTTTACCGTAAATTTTACAAAAACAGCGTAGTTGAATGACCTCAATTGACTTTATTAAACTAGAGCTCCCTGGTGATTAAGTAAGTATGTAACACTATATGGCCTACGTGCTGGTTGGTGACCCAAGATTGACCTTAAATCCATTCAGTAACTGCACATGTGTTCACAGTGTTTACGGAGACACCGTGTAGTGTCCTTGGCAAGTGCACAAGCCGGATGACTTTGCAGTTTTCATCCTAAATTTATCCTTTATAGTTTCTTGAATTGCAAGTCATTCTCTGAAGAGTCAGCTTCGTCGCCGCACACACACATAAGGTACATGTACTGTCGCAGTGTAGTCTTGCTGTTTGACAAACATTAAGTGTTTTCCGGGGTCGCCTGAAGTACTCTTGCATCAGCTGCCGTCAGCCGTCAGTTACTTTGCTAGCCAGCGTAAACAAGGTGAGTTTTTGTAACTCAGACCAAGGATAATGTCCTTGCTCAGACAGTGTTTGACACAGTGTAATACTCCACCAGGCCTCAAAAACAGTTTTTTACTACTTTAGCAACCGTACAGTTAAATACTGCTTAAATGGATAAATTAACCTCCCCATGGATTGACCCCCGTACCCCCGTAGGAAGGCCTGGTGGAGACTATTATTAATAGTGCGGTGAATCAGAACTATTTTTATTATAAATTAATGTTAATACTACATTTGTAATGGATGCATCTTGAAATATCCTTTACCACTGGAATAGTCTTCATCTTCTAGTGTGTAAACATTATCCTTGTTTGCCTGTCCCAATTCTCTGGTAAACATTTGTTAATAGTTAACAATTGTGTGACCCACTGAACTATAATAGTTAAAAGTGTTTAAACATTCTATCAATGACTGATTTTTTAAATCTAATGAATACATGTATATAATTTATGTAGTTATTCATTGAGGCCTGTGAACATGTCGGTTTTCCATGAAATTTTGCTCAACCATGAATTAAGACAAAGTGAATTAAAATATTCTACAGGCCAATAAAAAACATGACCTGCAGATGTATGAAAAATTGCACATAGTTTTTTTTTAAAGTGGTTCATGCTACTCACTCATGCAGAAATGCAATGACCACCTAGAGTGTTGGAGTGCTAAAAACTCCATTAGAGGCCTCTTAAGTGATAATGGCTTTTAGAGCCCCAACACTTTAAGGGGTCAGGGCATATCCAATTTTTCAACAAATGGGCCTTGCGGGCCTTGGGCAAAATTGTAGTATTTGGAGCTTTATTTTGACATAATGTAAAAAGCCCAGAGTAAAATTTCTGCATTGTAGCAGAAAACACATGACATTGTATGCCAGTGTTAGCACCCTTAATATATGTTTTCCATATTTTGTACCATGGCTTTCTCAATTTCAAAACCTAGTAAGGAGCTTTAGCACACGGTGGTCCCTTGGGATCGAACTGCCCACTTGAACTATATCATAGTATATTATATACTTTAACTAATTAATCATTAATAACTAATTAATCATTAACGTCACAGTATTCTGATGCAAATGACATTGGAAAACAACTGTTATATTAAAAAACGAATTCAGAATTAGTATCACACATAATATATGCTTGATGACAGGGACCCCCCATGCAGACCCACAGGCCACCTGTTGATCCATTGCTGATCCAGAGGCTCTTGTGTGGTTTACTCATCACCAATTATTTGCTCTTGTTCACACAGCCTGGACTGAGGTCAGCTATTAGGCGTCAACAGTGGCCTGTTCTTAATGTACACGTGCACAACTGAAGGTAGGTTGTGGGTATTTTCCTACAGTAGTACAGACCTACCCACTTTCTTTACCCTTTTTCTTCAGCCATATGGTTCATTTGCTTACTGTGTACAATTCAGTTAGCCTCCGTAGCAGGCTTATAGAACTGGGGGTTTGGTGGTCTCCGGCTGTTTTCTGATTAGCCCAGTTCTAAAAACGGGGGTAATTCAACCAGGCCGGTTATGTTGTCTATATGCAATCAGAAAATAGCACATAAAAGCTCCCAAAGACCCTGAAGACCCCCAAACCCCCAGTTTTTGGCATGCTATGGAGGCTAAAATTCAGTCTGTAAAAGATTAGCTTGACAAATGCTACCTGTTATTTCCCCTTGCTGTTATGACCCATTTTCTTTATTAGATTAATGACTTATGTATTATCTCTGTAGGTCTATAATTGTCTTAATTGGATTTCACTTGTTACTAAGCCTATGATGTTGTCTTTTTGTGGTAACGGTTGTGTGTATTCATTAAATGTATTCATATAAGCCACACATTTGTACAAATGCCATGAAAATATGATGTTATAATTAATAAAAAGCCTGGTTGTGAGATCCCATGCTTAATAGAATTTCAGACAATTGTTCACTCATTCAGGGATCTGTATTCATGTCGAGTTAGACAAAATAATCTGCTAGTGCTAGCCAAAATAAAATACAGGCCTAGCCAATTTGCTTGCCAACATACATGTAATGTACCAGTCTGATAATTTATTTGAGTCTTATAGCAGAAGTCATGTTGAATCTCTTTTTCTGTGTAATTTTTCTCCAACTCATTATCTTTCTTAACAATAACGTTATATGTAGCTAAAATTGTCCAATGTTACATGTACCTTGAACAACTGAAAAATAACATTTTTACGCATCATCAACAACATATGCTGTGAAGGATTTCTCACTGAATAATCAGTTGGTCATGTGTGTGCGTGTGTGTGTAGAATTCATAGTAATTAGCTCTTTCCGATTGTATGTTAACTTAGTATTATGTGTTACTGTCAGGTTGATTCTCTGACATAAAATTTTTAAGGAAAGAATTGTAGCAAGACTACACGATAAAACTAAAAGCAGATGACAGTGTGTCAGGCTCAAACTCAAAATTTCACTCTTTTTTTCTTGATTTTAAGCTTCCAGTTCCGTATTGTCTATTTTCCATTCTGAGAACCAAAACTACGAATCATTTTTTGTGGCTTAACTGACTTAAAGGACTTAGTTCACAGCTCTTCTTCTATATTTCTCCTCCAGAAAGTTGAAGAATGGCAAGCTCTGCATTGAGAACAGTGGTTGTGTCGACCAGGCCGCTCCTGCAGTTCCGAGCGGCAACAGTGGGGGCGCTGCAGTTCTCCACCACCACCCCAGCGGCAGGAGAGAAGAAGCACTACAAGCTGTGCATCGTGGGAGGGGGTGCAGCCGGCATTTCTAACGGCAGCAAGTTTGGGAGGAAGCTGGGTAAAGGGAATGTCTGTATCGTGGAGCCATCTGAGGTGAGTCTATTACTAATCTTCAAGCTGATACTAGGGTGGCTAAAGAAAGTATCAAATTGGCCAGAGAGGGTCAAAATGCCACCCAAAGGTGGCCAATGGATATTGCCTGGCCAATTTGATACTGTCTTTTGCCACCCTAGGATCTGCTTGGAGTTTAAGTCTAATTTGTCTAAGACTATTCTAGTCATCTGTCTGTCATTTGATGGAATTTTGCCCCTTATGACAAAAATTTTGCTCAATCCGTCATACAGTACATGTATTTGCATGTAAATAGATGGAAGGTCATTAAAATAAGCTTATAGAATTAGTCTACCAGCAAAATTTGCCCCATGCCTTCTAATTCAGTGCTTGCTATTACGTCAATCCAAATTGAGATGATGGAAAAAAATTTCAGACTGGCTAGAATAAATAGTGGTCTAATTACTAACTAATAGTTTTATCGAAAAAGCAGAGTAGCGGCAGGAGTGTGAGTGGATCAAACTTACCTATATATAGCCACACCTGGGGTCATATATTTAAGTCACCTGAGTTAGCGCCGAATGGCAGCTGCCCCAATAAGTGTAAGCTCCTCACAATTCGCTGCCCTTGGCTGCAAAGAGAGAGAAGCTGGCCCACCCTATCATATAATATAATACATCATTTCTGCACCTCATAGGTCCACTACTACCAGCCGATGTGGACCCTGGTGGGTGGAGGGGTGAAATCGTTCACACAGTCTGGTAAGGCCATGGCAGACGTCATGCCTTTGACTGTCGACTGGATCAAGGCAGGAGCAGAGGAGTTCTCACCTGACAACAACCTGGTCAGGTGTTCCGATGGCACAGAGGTGAGAACAGGTATCTAACCTAAAGGTACTGGGTTTGATCCCCAGAAGTCCCCAGTTTTGTTGGCCAAGACTGGACCGTTTTTTCCACCAACCCATTTTCCCATAATAGGTTGGTGGAAAAAACGGTCCAGTCTGGACTAGTTAGGGGGGTGGGTGAAAAACGGGTCCAATCTGGTTGGGGGTGGAAAAAACAGTCTGACCACTTGTGCCCCCTAGCATAAGGTTGCAGAATTGCAAGCAGTCTGAGTGTTCCTGAATACATGTATCAAAACACAAAGTGCGCTGACTGGCTAAAAAGGGGACTGGGAAAAGCGTTAAGCCCAGGATGCCCCTATGCAGACCCTTATCTGACACTAGACTGTTGTCTTGATAATTATTCTCTTATAATGTTGTCTGCAGATCACTTATGACTACTTGATAGTTGCCATGGGGCTATCGCTACAGTATGAGAAGGTAAGAAGTTTTAAAAATATTTTTAATATTCTATTAAACCTGTACTGTACTGTACATTTGTCAGTATAAGTAAACTTAACCAACAATGCATTATCAGGATAAATCATTTGATTTTTCTTATTGAACTTTTTTTTATACGTTTATAGATCAAAGGTCTCCCAGAGGCGTTCCAGTACGATGGTGTTGGGTCCAACTTCAGTGCCAAGTATGTGGAGAAAACCTTCCGAGCCATTCAGAACTTCAAGGTATTTTCATTAATTAGTTCTGAACCTATATATCTAAGGGCTTCGATTCCCTTATGTACCAATGCTGTGTCTCACTTTGCCTCGTCTCTACTAAGATACAAAATTTACTAGCAAGCGTGCTTGACATTGCAAATTGATAATAATCAAGAGCCCACTTTTTCTCACGAATTTAGATACCCAAATCTAGCGCCGTACAAATAAAAATGTTAACGTTAAGCATTGCTGACTGTACATCCTGAATTTAGTATAATGGCAGGACCTCCCATGCAGACCCACATTGTATTAAGATGTACTGAGAAGTTGTTTTTTTTCTTTTTTAGGGAGGCAATGCCATCTTCACCTTCCCCAACACACCTATCAAGTGTGCCGGAGCACCACAGAAAATCATGTACCTGGCAGACGACTTCTGGACAAGGGTAAGAACTAACCAAAGTACATTGTACCCTGGAGTCAAGAAGCTAGTATAATCAGTATGATTTTCAGTGTAATAGTTCTTCAGAGAATAAACTGTAAGTTGTAATTGAGTCCAGTTATAGTATTGTTAAAAAACACCTTCAATTTAAGCTTGAAAGCAGCATGGGAATCTGAGACATACATGCATGCAGCACAAACTTTGTGGCAATCATATTCTTGAAACGGTGAGGGCAAAATAGACTGCTTCCTGGGTGCCATCCAATTTGTAACGGCAACCCTGAAAAAATTGGGGTTGCCGTTACAAATCGAATGGCACCCAGGCTAGTCAAAATACTGTAAGTTGTAGAATTTCATTGTAGCACCAAACAGTAGTTCTCAAACAGTCTTTCTTTGATAGTTGACAAAGGAAAACAGTATATGATCTTTGTATTATGTCATCTGATTTTTCACACGCTCTCAGAATAACGTCAGAGACAAAGCCAACATCAGCTACAACACAGCCCTGCCAGTGGTGTTCGGAGTGAAGAAGTACGCGGAAATCTTGGCCAAACTCTGTGAACGGAGGAACCTGAAGATCAACTACAGACACAACCTGGTGGAGGTCATACCAGACAAGAAGGAGGCTGTGTTTGAACATCTGGATACAGGGGAGAAAATCACCTTCCCAGTAGGTTATTTCTGCTTTCCTTTGACTCTAAACTTTTATCTGTACCTGTATCAGTATAGTCGGTATAACCGCCCTTCGGTGTAACACACCAGCTTCACAGGCACGCGGCACGGTGGCAGCTAGCTATATCACACCGAACGACTTGTTACACTCAATCTTTGCACATTTGATTGCAGGAGTTGTTTAAAGCTTTCTAGTGATGATGCCCCAACTGTGCTTTGTGGCAGTCTACGATTATAGTACATTGTACAAACATTAGTGTCACAGTATTAAAAAAAGTATGACAGTATGTTTTTCTCTTCCTTCACCATCACTCACCCTTACTTTGCTACAGTAACAGCTTTTCTGGAAATTTAATGCCTTTTGTTTTAAGTTCTATTTACTTCTATTCCGTCTTCAATACCCTATGTTAAAGAAGAGCCCCCTATAAGACACTGTTGTAACTGCATCATCTGTAGTTTTTTTTTTTTTTTAAGTTTTATTTTCCATCTCCTCCGTCAGTATGACATGATCCACATCACCCCTCCCATGGGCCCACCTGAGTTGTTGAAGAAGAGCCCCCTAGCGGATGCGGTTGGTTGGGTAGATGTGGATAAACAGACTCTGCAGCATGTCAGATATCCCAACGTCTTCTCTACTGGGGACTGCTCCAGTCTGCCCACATCCAAAACTGCTGCAGCTGTTGGTATGTCTACTCATAGTTCATGTAGTTACTACCCGATACAGCTAGTACAGTCAAGGAGGTTAAAAATAAAATTTAAAGCTCCTTGGCACAGTCAAACTTGCCCAAGAAACCACCTCAGTCTACATGTATAAGCTAATATGGCCAGTACATTTAAGGCAGCTTTTTCTCACTCACAACCAGTGCTACATGGCCCAATCTCCGCATCATGTTCAAGTGTGTGGCAGGAAAAGTTTTTGATGATAACTAGTGGAAAATCATGCATGATGAAATCAGCCAGTTTATGGTTGATTTCGACAGTTATAATCAATTATGACAGTCTTTGCACTATCTTTAGATGGCACTGGCTGGTCACTTTGGGTCAATGGGGCAGTTATTGTGAAATGGATGCAAGTTTTGCTGCAGCAGTGTTCTTGTTTTCTGTCTAGTCTTGTCACCATTTGCTGGTCAGAGCAGGTTGACAGCACATTTGCTATGTTTCTACCCTCAGCTGCCCAATGTGGTATCCTGTACAACAACCTGAGTGCCATCATGGACAGTCAGGAGCCTCAGAAGAAGGTTTGTTTGTTGTCCAACACATTCGCATATACAAAAATGTCTGGTGACAGGAGTCCCTCCTGCTATAAAATTGCAACATGATGTAACCCAACACTAGTTGCCATGGTGACAGACGTCTGGTTCTTTCATTGACCTTATTTGTTTGGAGAAGGAGAAGAAACTGAGCAAAAACAACATGCTTTCCTTCAGTAAACATATTAATACCTGCAAGATTCTCATAGTACTTAACCTCTCCCTGCAGTATGATGGGTACACGTCCTGCCCCCTGGTGACTCGCAAGGGGAAGTGCATCCTGGCGGAGTTTGACTATGACCTGCAACCACTGGAGACATTCCCCGTGGACCAGGGGAAGGAGCGGCGCACCATGTGGCACCTGAAGGCCAACGTCATGCCTGAACTCTACTGGACTGGTCTTCTCAAGTAAGAAAAACAAAGCAAATGCGTTTACCTTTGGACATGGTCTGCCTTGTTGATTTTTACTCAAACACATTCACATACATGTACTATGAGTATATGGTGACAGGAGCAGAGCAGACCATGAAGTTGCAACATTATGTAACCCAACACCAGTCACCATGGTGACAGACGGCAACAAATCATGTCATTGGCCAGGTCAGAGGTTAGTGTTTGGAACAGAAGAAGGAACTGAGTTAAAACAATATGTTTTCCTTCGGTAAACATTAATAGAGGGACATGGGGGACAAACTCAGGCATGTTTGTGATTGTATTCTCGCTGCAAAAGTGTCATCTACATTCAGAGCTCTGAAGAAGGTGTCTGATAGACACTGAAACGTAAGCAGGGTAAGACAAGATTAGTTGTGTAAAAGAAAACACCCTATATCCTATACTCTACCAATCTGATGAAACTATTTTTGGAATCTTTTAAATACTGTGAATCACTTTTCATGTTCATGGTAGCAAAAGTTTGTGGTCAGAGAAGAATGACTGTTCAACATTTGTGGTGGTGGCAGGTACTGCAAAAAAAAAAGAAAGCAAATTATTTGTTCATGGTACCAGTAATGATAAGTTCCCAGTACAGTACGTGTAACTGCAAAATATAAAAGTCCTGCAAGAAAAATCATAATTAACAGTAATCAACCAGTCACCTAAGTAAGTAAGTAAGTAAGTAGTAAGTAGTCACCTGTATCAAAACTTGTCCGATTTCAGCTGCTTTTCCAAGAGGTCCAAACATCTACTAGTACTAGACTGGCCTGATGAAGTAAGATTTTAAGCAGAGCCAAAAAGAAGCAGTACAAACTTCCTTATCTTCTGATATCATTTTATATTAATCAGCCATTTTGTTTTGTCAACAATGCTTTTCTCCCCCATATCCAGAGGCAGATGGTCTGGTCCAGGCTTCTACAGGAAGGCCATGAGGCTGGGCATGGGCAAGTGAACTGCAAAGGAGGGGTGGTCAGGATATAGTTGTGCCTCAACTTGAAGACATTGAAAAATAGCTACATGTATGACAGCTAAAGTCAGTGCCTCAACATGTGAAAAGTTTACAATGCTTCTAGCTTGGAGCTAATAGACTCACTTAGTTCAATTAAAATCCAGAAAATGAAAGGCAGACACTTTCGGAAGGCTTATTTCAGATTTTACTACAGAAGCATGTAAGAAAATGGTTTATGATATAATAATAACTGAGAATTCAAACTTGAAGGTGAATTTTTATGACAAATTCAGTGACTGTAATGTATAATTACCCCAGGTCACACATATATCTGCCACCCTGAAAAATGCATCAAAAGAGATCTCCAATACAACATCCCCCAGTATATAAATACACTCGAGATCTGTTTAATATCTACATGTGTCAACTGTGCATACATTTTGTACCTTGGGAAATGCTGCACTAAAGATTACTCGAACACACTGTTTTTTTAAAGGTGACAGATGTATGTCATGTACATGTACTAGTATGTAACCTCGTGGATAAATGGTAATGGTGGTTAGATATCAGTGTTTTTAACTACCCTTAAACTTGTGTACTACGTACACGGTTATACAAGAAATGTTACTAATAATAATATCTTCTTAGTTGCCAATATACCCCTAATCCTTTAATCATTTATTTAAGACTTTAAGGACTGTAATTTACTACTTAACAATTCAGTAATGTTTTGGGGTAGAAAGCAATGCTCTATGAAAGGTTATTATAACATGTAATATGTGTATATGATGTTTTAAATACATGTCCAAGTACTATACATGTATGTTTAAAGTATTTCTGTCTGTTCATTAATTTGATAACATGAAAACTAACTCAAACTTCTCCCTGCTGCCCAATACCATAACCAATAGAGTTTTGGTGGGCAAACTACTTCGCCTCCTTCGCAGAATTGTAGGGCGGCGGCGTTATTTTTTTTTGTCGGGGAGTGACGCGAGTTATGCCGCCGAGGGAGTTTGCCGGTTTTCGCCACCCAACATTGTCGTCGCCCAACAGGTCTACGAAGGAAGCTAGCAAATTGCTACTCTTATAGTGTGCATAAATCAGATGTAACAAAAGTTTAAGAATACAATCATATGAATCATTGAATAACATGTCAATATTTTGCTTGTGCTGTCCTTTCACTCACTATATAGTATATGGTCGCTTATAATACACTGAACCCAGACGTACATTTTTTAAGTTTACGTAACGTTACATGTTCGAAATCTTAGCATCGTTGGCATTGTGTCCTTGGGAATGACACAACTTTCCTCACTCCAACCAGATGGGACTTAACTTTGGTAAGGGAGGTGAAACCAGTTAAAATCCACAGGAGAGACCAATAAGCACCCAAGGTAAATCGGATTAACAACACCTACGGCCTCAAAAAGTCAAAAGATGTTTTACCTTCATCTCTACCTTTTTACTTCTTACGATGTTTACAGTAAGAAGTGGACATCAAAACGGAAGGTGCACGAGAGGTTGCATTTAGTTTCTTTTACTTCTTACTACTTTTCACTTCTACTATTCTGAGTCATATATACTCCAGCGTATATAATCTTCTCACTCAGAGAAGACAGATCGACCAATCGTCTATCTTAACAGAGGAGTGGAAGGTACAGGTGGTGGAAGGAGAGGGATGGGAATCATAATGTCCAAGGTCATTCAGCTTCAAAAAGGCCATTTCTCCTTCACATTACCTTCATCTTTACAAGGCTACGATGTTTACAGTAAAAAGTGGACATCAAAACACTAGATATGACATGTGGGAGTATAGGTAGGATTTAGTCCTTTATTTGATGGCTACTTGAAACAGGTTTTTTTTCTATGTTAGATTGGTCTAGGCAGGCGACAGTTCAACATTGCAGTTACAGCCTACCAGCCGAGCTGGGCACACACTTTGGCTTGGTAGGGCAGTCTTGTAATACACGAGTCGTTTCTGCTGAAGCAAAGTCTACAAGATATAGAAATTGTTCTGAATCCAAGAAAGTTCATAGCTTGACTATTTCGATTTCTTGGATAGAGAGAGGCTCCCGAGAAAAGTTACTCCGTTGAGCCACACCCTACATCGGTGTACGGTCCGGCTGTCCTGAAAAAGACGCCGTCGTTGCGGGCCGTGAGAATTTCCACCATCTGCCCAAGATCAGGCGCTCATTTCACTTTGTCTACCACCTTCTTCTGAGCCAGGTAGGTACAAGAAATCATTTGACAGTGTATGCAGGTGACGTTAAAAACCACCTGCACAAGACAGATTAAAATTGCACCACTCAGATTTCAGGTCATACCGTAATCGGCGTTAGAAGCGATTGCAAATCTTTCATTTGCATTCCGTTGGCCGTAGAAGTATGACAAATCCATGCACAAACAAGTACATATGGACTAGCGCGTTCAACGTACTCTGATGATGTTCTGAGCTTTGCATGGAAAGGAGTCTGTGTTCAATCAACACTTGCATTTGAAGATTGAGACTAAAATTGAAAGACCTGCACCAGACAGATTGTACTTGCACTACTCAGATTTTAGGTCATACTGTAAACAGTGTTTAGGAAAGATTGCAAATCTTTCATTTACATTTCGTTGGCCGTAATAGTGGGGCAAATCCTTGCACAAACAAGTACATGTGGCCTAGCGCCTTTAACTTGCTCTGATGTTTTGAGCTGTAAAGGCAAAGGATTCTGTGTTCAATGCATGATATGATCAACACCTGCATATCTGAAGATGCAAACTAAAATTCAAAGATCTTACACCATGCTTCGTCAAATGATATCAATCTTTAACCAATACACCACGGAGAAATTCTGTAGTGAAGGCAAAGTTGTTTGTTGTCATGGATACCGCTAAAGATAATGCTAATATACTGTTTTTTTTTTCAATTTTTTCTTATCCTTTTCGTTGTGTGTACTAAACTTTACCGACCACGCCCTAGTTTAAATAAATAGATGACATTGAGGTACATGTAGAAGGTCACAGGTTGCGGAAGTACCCATAATGCTCGAGGCCATCCAGCGTCACAAAGGCCACGTGTCCTTCATAAATTTACCTTCATCTTTATCCAGCTATCATGTTTACAGTAAAAAGTGAACATGAAAACAGTAGATATGACAGGTGGGAGTATAGGTAGGATTTAGTCCTTTATTTGATGGCTACTTGAAACAGGGCTTTTTTCTATGTTAGATTGGTCTAGGCAGGCAACAGTTCAACATTGCAGTTACAGCCTACCAGCCGAGCTGGGCACACACTTTGTCTTGGCAGGGCAGTGTTGTAATACTTGAGTCGTTTCTGCTAAAGCAAAGTCTGCAAGATATAGAAATTGTTCTGAATCCCTGAAAGTTCATAGCTTGACGTTTTCGATTTCTTGTATAGAAAGAGACGCCCGAGAAAAGTTACTCCGTTGAGCCACACCCTACATCGGTGTACGGTCCGGCTGTCCTGAAAAAGACGCCGTCGTTGCGGGCCGTGAGACATTCCACTACCTGCCCAAGATCAGGCGCTCATTTCACTTTGTCTACCACCTTCGTCTGAGCCAGGTAGGTACAAGAAATCATCTGTATACAGGTGACGTTAAAATCACCTGCACAAGACAGATTGTAATTGCACCACTCAGATTTCAGGTCATACCGTAATCGGCGTTAAGAACGATCATTGCGAATCTTTTATTTGCATTCCGTTGGCCGTAGAAGTATGGTAAATCCATGCACAAACAAGTACATATGGACTAGCGCGTTTAACGTACTCTGATGATGTTCTGAGCTTTGCAGGCAAAGGAGTCTGTGTTCAATGCATGATCAACACTTGCATTTGAAGATGGAAACTAAAATTGAAAGATCTGCACCAGACAGATTGTGCTTGCACTACTCAGATTTTAGGTCATACTTTAAACAGTGTTTAGGAACGATTGCAAATCTTTCATTTACATTTCGTTGGCCGTAATAGTGGGGCAAATCCTAGCACAAACAAGTACATATGGACTAGCGCCTTAAATTTGCTCTGATGATGTTTTGAGCCCTTAAGGCAAATGATTCTGTGTTCAATGCATGACCAGCATTTGAATGATAAGTTAAATGTTGTATGTAAATAATGTTGTAATTTTGATGTAGTGTATTTGTACTATTAAGTACTTTAACTCCAGGAAGATTAGCTACATACTTGATTTTGTACCAATGTCTTGTGTGTCGCTAATGGAGTTTAATAAAGCACATAAAGCATTTGTAGATGGAAACTAAAATTCAAAGACCTTACACCATGCTTCGTCAAATGACGTCAATCTTTAACCAATACACCACACTGACAGGGAGAAAATGCCTTAGTGGAAGCAGGGCAAAATTGTTGAAATTGTTGTTTCTTTTCCTGGATATCGCCAAGAATAATTCTAATATAATGTTAAACGTTGTTTTTTTTAAAAAATCCTTTTCGTTGTGTACTAAACTTTACCCATCACGCCCTGGTTTAAATTAATAGATGACCTTGAGGTACATGTAGAAGGTCACAGGTTGCGGAAGGAGAGGGATATTACCCATCATGCCCGAGGCCATCCAGCGCCACAAAGGCCATGTGTCCTTCATAAATTTACCTTCATCTTTATCCAGCTATCATGTTTACAGTAAAAAGTGAACATGAAAACACTAGATATGACATGTGGGAGTATAGGTAGGATTTAGTTCTTTATTTGATGGCTACTTGAAACAGGGCTTTTTTTCTATGTTAGATTGGTCTAGGCAGGCAACAGTTCAACATTGCAGTTACAGCCTGCCAGCCGAGCTGGGCACACACTTTGTCTTGGCAGGGCAGTCTTGTAATACTCGAGTCGTTTCTGCTGAAGCAAAGTCTGCAAGATATAGAAAATTGTTCTGAATCCAGGAAAGTTCATAGCTTGACTATTTCGATTTCTTGGATAGAGAGAGGCTCCCGAGAAAAGTTACTCCGTTGAGCCACACCCTACATCGGTGTAAGGTCCGGCTGTCCTGAAAAAGACGCCGTCGTTGCGGGCCGTGAGACATTCCACTACCTGCCCAAGATCAGGCGCTCACTTCACTTTGTCTCCCACCTTCGTCTGAGCCAGGTAGGTACAAGAAATCATCTGTATACAGGTGACCTTAAAAATCACCTGCCAAGACAGATTGTACTTGCACCACTTAGATTCTAGGTCATACCGTAATCGGCGTTAGAAGCGATTGCAAATCTTTCATTTGCAATCCGTTGGCCGTAGAAGTATGACAAATCCGTGCACAAACAAGTACATATGGACTAGCGCGTTTAACGTAATCTGATGATGTTCTGAGCTTTGCAGGGAAATGAGTCTGTGTTCAATGCGCGATCAACACTTGCATTTGAAGATGGAAACTAAAGTTCAAAGACCTGCACCAGACAGATTGTACTTGCATTACTCAGATTTTAGGTCGTACTGTAAACAGTGTTTAGGAACGATTGCAAATCTTTCATTTACATTTCGTTGGCCGTAATAGTGGGGCAAATCCTAGCACAAACAAGTACATATGGACTAGCCCCTTAAATTTGCTCTGATGATGTTTTGAGCCCTTAAGGCAAAGGATTCTGTGTTCAATGCATGACCAGCATTTAAATGTTAAGTTAAATGTTGTATGTAAATAATGTTGTAATTTTAATGTAGTGTATTTGTAATATTCTTAAGTACTTTAACTCCAGGAAGATTAGCTACATACTTGATTTTGTACCAATGTCTTGTGTGTCGCTAATGGAGTTTAATAAAGCACATAAAGCACATAAAGCATTTGAAGATGGAAACTAAAATTCAAAGACCTTACACCATGCTTCGTCAAATGACGAATACACCACACTGACAGGGAGAAAATGCCTTAGTGAAAGCAGGGCAAAATTGTTGAAATTGTTGTTCTTTTCCTGGATATCGCCAAGAATAATTCTAATATAATGTTAAACGTTGTTTTTTAAAAATCCTTTTCGTTGTGTACTAAACTTTACCCACCACGCCCTGGTTTAAATGAATAGATGACCTTGAGGTACATGTAGAAGGTCACAGGTTGCGGAAGGGGAGGGATAGTACCCATAATGCCCGAGTCCACCCAGCGTCACAAAGGCCACGTGTCCTTCATAAATTTACCTTCATCTTTATCTAGCTGCGATGTTTTCAGTAAAAAGTGAACATCAAAACAGTAGATATGACAAATGGGGGTATAGGTAGGATTTAGTCTTTTAATTGATGGCTACTTGAAACAGATATGTTTTTTTATATGTTAGATTGGTCTAGGCGCTAGGCAGGCCATAGTCTAAAAGATCAATTATACCCTACCAGGAAAGCTGAAGACATATTGTCTTAGTGGGGTATATTGTATAATATTGTGTCCTTCATCTTTACAGTGGACATTAAACACTTACTAAGGTATAACAGGTGGGACTAAAGGTTGGATTTAGACTTTTATTTGATGGCAACTTGAACCAAAGCTGTTTTTCTCTGCTAGATTGGACACTCTGAATATATTTTCTCACCTTTGTTGAATAAGACATTACCCTTGTAACTCTGTTGTTGAAGTTAAGCATATTCGTTTTTAATTCAATATCCAAGACAAAATGTTGCAATGGCCTTACAGATGAGTTTTCTTTTCTGTTTAGGTTGTTGGACACCATGGGAAGAAAGCTGCGTCACTTGCTGATTTTCCTTCTCATCATCCTGAAGGAACTCAACACGCCAGCAGCTGACTGCAGCTGTAAACCACGCTGCAGATGCTCCGACCTGGGCCTCACCAGCATCCCACAGAACCTCCCAACATCCATATCTTTTTTAGATTTGAAAGGCAATCGTATCACAAATGTTAAAGGGTCTGAACTATTACAGTATAGGAATTTGGTTGAATTGAAGTTGTCGAAAAATTGCATAGGTATTGTTGATTATTTCCCCAATCTTCCCCATCTCATGAGGTTGTACTTATGCAATAACAACATAACTGACATCCAGCCTAATACATTTTCAAATCTTCCTCGGCTCCATATGTTGCTATTGAACAACAACAAGATAAATATGATTCAGTCTGGTACATTTGCAAATCTACTCCTGCTGCAAACGTTGGTCCTGCACGCCAACAAGATAAAAATGCTTCAGTCTGGTACATTTACAAATCTACCCCGGCTAAAGGTTTTAACCCTCAGCGACAATCAGATATCAACGATCCAACTCGGCACATTTACAAATTTACCCCTGCTACAAGAGCTAGACCTGTCCAAAAATCAGATAACAATGATTCGACCTGACTTCTTTGAAAATCTGCGCCAGCTCAAAATATTGTATTTGTCCTCCAACCAGATAACAATGATTCAACCCGGTACATTTGCAAATCTAAATCAGCTCAAAATGATAGGGCTGTCCGTTAATCAGTTAAAAATGATTCAACCTGGTTTATTCGCAAATCTGATTAATCTTAATACGTTACAACTATCGGCTAACCAAATAACAAACATTCAGCCTGGTGTATTTGCAAATATGCCCGGGCCGAGAGAGCTGTGGTTGATGGACAACCAGATAACAATACTTAAGTCTGGTGCGTTTGAAAATATACCCCAACTCGAAGTTTTGTGGCTGGACAAAAAACCAGATAACAATAATTCAGCCTGGTACACTTACAAATCTACCACAGTTAAAAAAGCTGGGCTTGTCGCGCAACCAGCTATCGATGATTCATCCTGATACATTTGCAAATCTACCCCTGCTGCAAGGGTTGTGGCTCCATTCCAACAATATAACAAAGATTCAAAACGGTACATTTGCAAATCTAAACCAGCTTGAAGTGTTGTGGCTGAACACCAACCAGATAACAACGATTCAGGCTCGTACATTTGCAAATCTACTCCGGCTTAAAGAGTTGCGAATATCCAATAACCAGATAACAATGGTACAATCTGGTGCACTTTCAAATTTGCCCCACCTCGAAGTGTTGCAGCTGAGTAACAACCATATCACGATGATTCAGTTTGCTGCACTTGCAAATCTGTCCCGGCTACGTGATTTGGACCTTCAGTATAACAAGATGTTGGCAATTTTCCCTTCAAATTATGGCTTATTGCCATCTACTCTTACCATAAAACTTGGTGGGAACCCCTGGCAGTGTGACTGTAAGATGACACACCTGAAGTTGAATGCGACTGAATTTCCTTCATTTGAAGATCAGATAATATGTGCACAGCCCTCAAAATTCCAGGGACAAAAGCTTGCAGATGTCAATCCTAAAGAATTAACATGTGAAACACCAAGCATGTCCTCTAGCGCCTGTTACGATGACACCGTCACCTATCATTGGTACTTTAAACGCAATGCTGGTTCAACCGCAGGCCCAGTGGGCAAAACAAACAACATGATAACAACACCAACTTTGGACCAATCATCGGTCAGAATAAGCCCTAAATCTTCCCCCAGGTTTCCACTACCTGTTCTCATTGGCTCTGCCAGTGGTCCAATAGTTGGCATTGTCCTGCTGCTCGGCACCATCATTCTCACAACCTGGTTCAAATCTAGGTTCAGACCTCCCCTTGCAGGGCTAGATCCCAACGTTGGTAGCAATAAAAACACAGCAGTTTCTGTAATAGACAGTGGCAATGATCACCAGTATGAAGATATCAACGACCATTATGGTCAGACAGGGCAGGGTCAGGCTAACATTCAATCCCCGATAGTTGGAAATCTATCACATGACCAAGTGCTAGCTGCATTGAGTCCAAATCCTACATATCTGGATATGCGTAATAACCCAGCATCTACAGAAATGACTAGGCAGGGGCAGTCTCGGGCCATCATAGAATCCCCCCCACACACAACAGCTACTGTAATGAGCAGTGGTGATGATCACCAGTATGAAGATGTTGACAACAATCATGTTAAGACAGATCAGGTCCAGTTTCCGACCCTCCCTGAATCTAACACAAACGCCACAGCAATGACCAGTGGTGATGATCACCAGTATGAAGATGTTGACAACCATCATGATCAGACAGGGCAGGGTCAGTCTAAGGCCATTTCTGGGTTCTTGGATGCAAGAAATCTATCTTATGGCACGGGGCCGACTGTCTCCCAGCAAAATGACATGTGCAAAGCTGTGGTTCACTCTCGGGACTTAACCGAACCCAATACAAACAACATTGCTTCTGTCATGGCTAGTAGCCATTGTGAGACAGGGCAGGTCAAGGCTCAGGCAATCACAGAATCATTGGATACTGAAAATGTATTTTATGGTGGAGGGCCAACTGCCTTGCAGCCAAATTCTCTTTACGCAGATGGAGAAACACCATGATTAGAAGCATCTAGGGCTATCCTTCACCCTTTGGCCTTGCCATTTGTGGTACCAGAACAACACTTAGAACCCATTTTAGCATGCGACTTTCAGCTCATTATGTTGAAAGATGCAGTTTTGTGAACGTTGCTGCAAAGAATAATCGCCATAACTTTTATCTGTGGCAAAGTTGTTATAAGCCTGAAAAGTAGGTATAGGATCGAGGTTTTTAGATCACCCACCACAAGAGACATCCCAGTCTGGCAGATTGTTTTATTGTGCAATGGGTTTTCTTATAAACCTCTTCAATTCACATTTTTGCATCTACTCCTAGATCCTACAGATCACACCATTTTCTACAGCTACAGTGTTTTTTTTACGTAGTATCAAAGGTAGCCTTAAAGTCTAAGAATGGGAAGTGTACCGTTATTTCCCTAGGTTTCTCTGTGGTTTATCTTACACCAAGTATGGCATCTACTATTTTGCCACTTCTAAAGCCAAACTGAATTTTTTTAAAATGTGAGTCAAGTAAGCATCAGAATTATGTGAATCAAAGACTCTGACGGTGGCGACTACCTAATATTGTGTTTTGTCTACATAGACAGGAAGTGGGTTTCGGAGCTTGCGAAGAAGAGAACATAACCTTCTTGGCGAAGGTAAAAAATATGAATAGTTGCCCAACCAACATCAGCGGGCGAGGGAATTCTGTATGTACATATATGTATATAATTCGTATGTTTAAAGTTCCAGTATATATGGATAATTTAAATTTGAAAATGTAGCAGAGCAGTAACACAACAAAGCATTGCCTAAATTATCTAACATCTGATTTACATGTACCAATCAGTTAAATTTTGAAATTTTCACCATAATTGCTGATTTCCCCTAATCATAAAATGTATGTTATATCAGTCATACCCCTGCAATTGTCGCTATTTTACTTTAATTGTAGCTTATAGTTTCTGTATCAGTTCCTGTTATGATGATATGATTGACAAACACACTGGAGTCACAATAAGTTACAACAATTCAACTTTGTATTGATGATGATGATGTTCGTCCATCTTTGTCGATGACGACCCCAACTTTGTATTAATACCTAAAATATTACCTTTAAATACTTGCTTAACAAAGGGAAAGTATTAGAAAACATGTTAGCCTTACCTGTGAAGTTGAAAAGTATCAACACAAGTCATGTTTTTGGAATGGACTGTTATAAGCTCATACTTGTTTACTAACTTATAATTGTTTTATTGCCTTTGTCAGAAGGGTATGTATTCGTGGTGTAGGTCCATATGTAGGTCAACGTGACAACTCGATTATTTGTGGGATGACTTTGTATTTTTGGTATGTGAGTAGCTGTTGTGAAAATGTCGTTCAAGTTTGTATATGGTCTACCTGGCTTTCCCCAATCGCATTGCAGTGGGCCTTTTGTGAATTTGTCGATTGCATGTATATACATGTTGTATGCAGCCTAAATAATTGTTAAAGGCTTTAAATCACACAATTCAGTCTTAATGGCTGCAAAGTGATGGTATTGTGTACTGTATAATTGTGTTGTATTGTGTTTGAAATAAACCAATGATGTAAGACGAAAATCTGTGAATGGATCTTAATGATATTTCAATAGCTGTGTGGCGGTTATGGACACAAAGGTATAGTTAAAAAATGGCAATCCTACGTTGCTGCATAAAAGTTGTCTTTTTTTGGTTTTGTTTGTACGTGGACAACATAACTTGAGAAAACGCGGATAGTTGTTAATTACATTTAATGAACGGTTAGTGGCAGCCAAAATGAAGGTTAAGTTTGATTATAGGCCTCCTAGCTGCTATGTACAGTATTGCATGAGGAATGTAAAGTTTTTGGGTTTTAGAAGTGTCAATGCTCTGGGAGCGCTATGGTCAGGATTTTTAGACAGTGGATAGTTTTTGAAGCATAGATGAAAGTGGAGAGACCTAATATCAAACATTCTTTGCTAGTCTGTAACTATAAGGTCAGGAAACTGTGAGGTTAAGAAAAGATTGGTAGCAAACGTATTAAAATTGGAATAACGAATCATACTTTACATACAAAACGCAAGAAGAACTACGCCAGGCAACAAAACATCCAAAATTTGGATCCAAGACAAAACTTTTCAAAATTACATGATAACAATGGGCAGCATTTTAAAATACAATCCTCTATCAAAGGCATCAATGTCTTTATATTGCTACTGTATATAAACATAGTAGACAATTAATACATATTTCGCATAACATATTCTAAAGATAACAATGATGTATACAAAATTTTTTTGCCATCTACTCTCCGCAACACATTATTCCTCTTGAAAAGTTAAAACCGTTAAACATGCGACTCCGTTGTTGACTTGGACGCTCGCTTCTTGCACTCAAACCTATACATCACATCAGTTAACAAGTCAACTTCCTGCAGTACCGTATCAGTCCGCTGGAGGACCTCATTCACGAAGTGGTCCGGAAGTGGTGCTTCGTCTTCAGAAAATACAAAATAGACACGAATTTTAGTTTACGTTTTGCCTTATGCAATACAGTGAATCCTTTTTGGTAATAGTTACGGTAAAGAGCTAAAAAAAAAAGACAGGCAAGCAAATGAATCTACCGTCTACGTCTTGGGACTCGTGGCGCATGCCTAGAAGGCTCCTGAAGGAGTTCCAGAAGTAATCTCCCATGGCGGTGTCCACATCAATGTCGTCGGACGTCTGACAGTAACTCAGCCAGTTACACAGCATCCCCACTCCCAGGTTCATCTGTAGAAGATCGTAAGAGAAAGATGATCTACTGCAAGCCCACGCACGCACAGAGAGAGAGAGAGAGAGATGGAGAGAGAGAAATGGAGAGAGAAATGGAGAGAGAAATGGAGAGAAATGGAGAGAGAGAAATGGAGAGAG